CTCCTAATCCGCTTGTCTGATTTTCACCAAAAGCGAATCGTCATCAGACCATGTCAGCAAAACGTTTTCGGTTCAATTGACGAAACCATTTTCGTATACCGTGGCATGATGGCGCGATGACTCTGAGGCTGTATCTCTGCAATGCTTTGGCACATTGATACCAGGCTTTGCATCTGTTATTGTCACCTTACTCTGACCACACCACATCAATTTGGTCACAGCGATAAACCTATTGTTCGAAAGTGATAAACCATTAAAGGGATAGTTCACCCAAAAATAAAAATGACTTTTGTAAAAAAAAAAATCCATATTTAGCCCTTTATTAGCTATAATAACTAGCTTCCGTCTAAATAGTTTAATATACTGTAGTGTATATAATAATAAATTGTTAACTATGTTGTGAAATATGTTATATTCCAATCCACAAATATGTGTTTTAAACACTTTTATATTGTTCATGTTAGTAAGTTGATCCTAAAGTCTTTCTATTCCAGTGCGTTCTTCAATTGAAAAAAAAATATATATATATATATTTTTTTTTTCTCAAGTAAAATGCACACACAGATTAGTTGTAACAATCGGCTTAATCGGTAGAGTTACAACAGATAATGCTGAATAATGTGTTTTTATCAAATGTGTATTTCTCAACTCAAACTAGAAACAACAACTAAATGCATTGTGTTTTCAAATTAAAATAATATTTTTTACAAAATTAAATATTGACATCTTTGCATTACTGCAAACTTGTTATTTGTCTCAATAATACCATGGTAAAAAAAATAAATGTCATATTTACCAGTGCCCTTACTGTCTAACAGGCCTAGGACATATACCGAAATTTAATAAAGTTAACAGTCTGCACTGCAAACATTATAAATTAAATGTAGACTAATCCTTATTAAAGCTAAAAAAGTTATTTAGTCAAGAGCAGTGAGTGATTTTGTTCTTTGATTAACTTTACTGACTAGGAGATTAGGAGAGGGCTCCGTGATCGGCATTCGGCCCGAACCCAGAGTAACGTTACTCCCCCGTATTCTAAATAACAGAAAGTGAGCAGGCGGGGTGGTGGACGAGAGATGCTGAAAAACTGTCAAGGAGTGTTAGGTGAGTTGACTGAGTGATTATGCTTCCTCTCAGGCTGATAGGGTAACGTTAGACATGGTATTGTTTGATGACAAGTTGATTAGAATGATTATTTGAACGTGCTCCTCCCGAACTTTGTTTATGAAACATCATGTGTAGTGTAGATTATGCCATCGCGTCTGTTATAGAAGATATCGACAGCGCATTGCTTTTAAAAGAGGAACAGAGAACCGCGATAAAGGCATTTGTCGGTCGGAAAGATGAATGAAGAACATGCGTCATTTACTCCGTTGCTCTGATTGGTTGTAGGTCTATCCAATTGAATGGAGAGGCATTTTCTTTCCTGGTACGGTTGAAACACGCCCCATAATCACAGCCCAATGGATCAATTTCAGACTCATGTTCTTTCTAGAATAAGAGTATGACGAAGTCAGGCTAGCCTTGTGTGTGTGTGTGTGTGTGTCTTGTTGTACATGAATGGTTTAAAAGCATTTGCATGAATAAGAGCGGGGTCATATAATATAATATACACTTTTAAAAAAAAAATTCTGATTGGATAATTATCAAGATCGAGGCCAAGCCTTGTGTATACTATTTTTATATAGCACAACAAAAGCCTCCCATCCTCACGAAGGGCCCTTCTCTGCCCAGATCACCGGCTGAGGGACAGATGAAGCAGCGTTCACAAGGTCTCCTGCTTTTGTGTTTGCTTTATTTCAGCATAAGCTACTCATAACACACTGTACATTACGGGTATTTTAACAGCTCTGTTTACATTGCATTCTTCCCGTGGAAACAATTCCAGGCGCTTCTGCTACATCCACTATTTATACTGTGTAAATGTGCTCCTGTTAAATATTGCTGTTGTTTGTGTTTAAAACCCACTAGAGGAGCTTTCACAAGAAACATGACGTGTTCCTCCCACATTCAGAGCAGTGCTTTTGTAGAACACACACTCACGAAAACCACTTCCTATTGCATTTCGTGTTCGTGGGCGTTCACTATGGGGAAGTCGGCACCTTGCTTGCTGCCATCAGCTTGGTTTTGTTTTTTCGTCACCTCCCACAACTAGGTCACTGTGTGTGTTCAAAGACCATACTAACTCTATATGTGCATGTACAATATATAATGTGTGGCATGCAATATGCATAGAATACCCAGATGACCTACTGTTTACCAGATGTGCACTATTGAACAGGAATACTAAATCCCACAATCCAGTGCACTCGACCTTCCATTTTCAGTGTACTGTAAGTGATATTAGCAGCCATGATTTTTTATTTTTTGTTATTGAATCCATATTTGACTGGGGTTCATGCATAATAATGTATTTATTTCTGAGATTATAGCTTGACACCACTTGCTGATTTAAATATGCAACCTGATGAGGTCATGTGGCTTGAAAAAAAATATATATTTATAATCTTAGTAATAATATAATAATAATAATATAATCTTAGATATATGCACAGTATGTTGTAGCCAGCCAGTATTGTACAATTTGCACTCCATCATAGCTATTTTGAAAAAGGGCTGCATGAATTGTGGAAAAATCTAAGGGATTTTTCTGAGAAAAAATTGTGATTATGATATATATATAAAAAAAATTATTTCAGTTTTTTTATGAATTTTGCGATTAGATTAATATAACTATAATAATAATATATTTTTTCAATTATTATATTCATATACTAATAATTATTATTATTATTAATATTTGATATTTATAATACAAATAATAATATTTTGTAATAATAATATTTATATAATACTGTTAATTATTATTATTTATATAATGATATTTATAATAGTAACTATTTTTTTATTACTTATATAATATTTATTATAAAAAGAGTTCATAAAGTATTTAAAAAAATTATACATTTTTCATTATGAATAATATTTATATATTTATATCATAATCATTATTATTAATACTAAATAAAAATATTTTATAAAACAAAATAAAAAATAGAGTATATAAAAATAGAGTATTTAAGAAAAATCATTCATTTAAAAAAATTAGGGCTGTCAGTTAAACGCGCTATTAACGGCGTTAACGCAAACCCATTTTAACGGCGTTAATTTTTTTATCGTGCGATTAGCGGTCTTTTTGGCCTAGCAAACTTTGTAGTTTTTTTCATAGATATCCATAATAAAGGCTAGATGTCTTACGGCGGAGTCTCTATCGTCATCACCGGCGGCCATCTTGTCACAGGCAAGCTTTCTGGCGGGCTCTGTGGTGCCTGATGTAAGATGAGTGATCAGCACCAACACAAATACTCTTATCTCGTTGAAATCTTGACGGATTTACAAACGGTTTGGTTTCTTACAAACGTTATTAACGTGGCTATAATTCTGGATGATTATTTATTTATACACTTATTATCCATAAGCATGCCGTGTCATAACTACATCTCTGACGTTTATAACAAACCAAACCGTTTGAAAATCGGTAGAAAATTGAGCAAGTTATGGTTATTTAAAAAGTACATGCGCCATTAAAACACAATGTTACGAGTGAGCGAGCTGCCTGTGACAAGATGGCCGCCAGGTGCGGACGCCGACCTCCATTGGCCAGCAGCGCGGACGAGACATCTAGCCTTTATTATGGATATCTATGGTTTTTTTCGCATGCTTTTGCAACAAGACGCGGCAGGACGTTTTGAAAGTGCAAGCGGATCTAATTAGACCGGAAACAAAACAACAGGCACGACACGGACACACACACTTGTTTGGGTCTGCGAGCCGGCTAAATAGTTGGTTAACGTTACGTTTTGAGTGGATGACGAGCGCGAGACGCCGAAATGGATGCCAATAAGATTCTGAATGGAAAGTTTACTTTTTTTTTTTTTTTACCAATTTTTTTTTATTTATTATTATTATTGTTTTTGCTTTTGAACTAAACACATGAACAAATAGATTTCCATGTAACAGGAAAAAAAATATATATATTTTAGTCTCAGTATTTTAAATTGCTATTCTATACCTCCTCTTTTCTTAGTCTTTTATTAACACCTTTCCAAATCTACCACATTTTAAGAATGATCTGAAAGGTCCCCAAACTCCATCAAAAATGTTATATTTGTCCCTTAAAATATAAGTCATCTGGAAAGTTTACTTTTAAAAAGTTGCCAAATGGTTCCATTGACAAGACCAATGTGATCTGTGTGTTTTGTCGTTGTGAACTGAGCTATCATCATCACAGCACGTCCAGTCTGAAACACCACTTGATGATGGCCAAGCACACACACACACACACACACACACACAGCTGATGCGAATTCTCCGCCCCCTCGTCAATATCAGGACCTCGTCAGTATTTCTTTCACCCTTTTATTGATGGACAGTGTTACATTGTGTGAGAGATTATTTGCTCCAAGTGAGAATGTTAGTGTGAAATTGAACACAGTATATGCCAATGTTGTTTTCAATAAAATACATTTGCACAAAGCAAGCCGATCCACTTTTCCATGTTGATAAGAGCATTAAAATGAGAAAAAATAATGGGACAAAAAGAAATCAAGAGACATTTAGAATAGATAAAAATTTGCGATTAATCGCGAGTTAACTATGACATTAATGCGATTAATCGCGATTAAAATATTTTAATCGTTTGACAGCACTAAAAAAAATAAGTAATTGAATCATTTTATTTGACATTATAACTGTAAATTGCAATTCTAATACTTATTTTGATGCGTTTACAAATGTACGTTAAAGTGACCCAAACGCACAGCCATGCTTTACTCTGAAACTCGCAGCACATATTCATATTTATTTAATCAAATCGCAGCCTTATTGCAATTTCAGTTTTATTGTAATGAATCGTGCAGCACAACATTTGGTGATCGATATGATCCTGTGCTGTAAAGCATTTAATGTTCACCCTGTGACCTCCTCCGTGTCCTCCACAGAATGCCATCGTGCCGTTTAAAGAGCTGTGCGGTCTCTCCGCCGTGGCCAACCTGAAGCAGTGTATCCTAGCGCTCTCTCCGCGCCTCAGCGGGCCGGACGCTAACCCGGTCCTGCTGTTTAACCTCAGAGACCAGTACCCCGTCATGGAGGCGCAGGGCCTGCTGCCCGAAGTCCTGAAGAAGGTGGTCACCGCTTATGAGATGGTGAGTACATTCCCATAAACATTTATCCGACACGCATCGTTTCAAAGCAGCAATAACCAAGACAAGTTTAACAATGCAACGTTTTCTGGTAACACTTTACAATAAGGTTCATTAGTTAACATGAACAATACTTCTTCAGCATTTATTAATCTGAGTTAATATTAATTTCAACATTTACTAATACGTTATGAAAATCAAAGGTTGTATTTGTTAACATTAGTTAATGCACTGTGAACTAACATGAACAAACAATTATTTATTTTTTTATTAAATTACATTAACAAAGATTAACTAATATAGTTACACATGCATTGCTCATTAGTTCATGTTAGTTAATACATTAACTAATGAACCTTATTGTAAAGTGTTACCAGTTTTATTTTAATATTGCAAATTAGCCAAAATACTTACACCGAAATCTCTCTAAAACATCTCTGGTTTGCATGATTGTATGTCCTGTTGTGAAATGCAAAGGCTTTTTGAATGCATGTTGACTCAGATTTGATGGGTTGTAATGATGCAACCATGAATAAACCGGGTCCGTATTCATGGGTCGTGATAATGGCTTCCAACAGTTTTTGTTTTTGCTTATGCTTGAATAATGCACCATTACAAATTGTAAATTCAAACTCCTGGGAAAACTGCCCCGGAGAATAGCCGTGTTTTGCAGTTTGATGAGCAAGAACGGCATTAAAGTCTCCGAGCTTTCATTTCAGGAAGATCGCTGGAGCAAAGGACCACAACAGACCCATATGAGGACCAGTTTTACATGTCAAAAATTGGCTTATTTATTAGCGCACTGATTTTATAAACAGCACTTTAGGAGCACTTTAACCATAGGCCTTAAATACGTTTTTTGGGTAACACATTACAATAAGGTTCGTTAGTTAACATTAGTTAACATCAGTGGTGGACATGTTACTTTAAAAAAGTAATTATTTATAGTTACTAGTTACTTCTCATAAATAGTAACTGAATTAATTACTAATTACCTGGGAAAGTAACTATTGGGTTCAAATATGTCAAATAACTTGGATGCCCCCAGTATTAAATATGTTCAATGAATGAAATGGACACTAAATAGATTAAATTAGTATTATAAAACATTGTACAATTGTACTATTTTAATGTCGCTGTGGGACAATGTAAGAGACACCTATTAAATTCAATACATTATTGTAAATATTATCATTACTATAGTGGAACAATAAAACACAATATATGGTTTACAACTTTTAATATTTATTGCACAGAACAAAACTGGCCAACAGATAAGTCTAAAAATAAATGATAATGCTTAAGAAATGTATCAAAAATGATTAAATAATAAAAACAAATATACATGCATTCTTTGTTGTGCAAATTAAAATGATAATACTGTCACACGACTTCACAACTGGTAGACATACTGTAGCTTACTTGAAGAATTTTCTTCCTCACAAAAGTAAACAGTTTAACAAGACGTGTTCTTAATATAATACCGAACAATGTACCAAAAATAAATAATGATGAAATGTGTAATTTATTGATAAACAAACAATATAATGCTCGGACACACTCTGCCTATTTCGGCGTCCGCTTCGCTTTTGTCCAGTCCTGCACCTCATAAACACACACACACACACACACACACACACACACACACACACACACACACACACACACACACACACACACACACACACACACACACACACACACACACACACCTACCTACCTACCTCAATTTAGGTCCCCACAGTCCCCATGAGTCTGTGTGGTTTATTCAGGTTTAAGTCCCCACCGGGATAGAAAAACATGTACACACACACACACACACACACACACCAGAGAAAACACTTTGCAGGTCCTATGGCGGAGAGAGAGAGCCTACTCACTTTGAAATTAATCTTTGGTATGTTTTAGCTTACCTCAAGGGCATCCAAGATGTAGGTGTCTTTGTTTCCGCAGTAGTTTCAATTTTGATATTTTTAGGTCAAGCCGTTGTTGTCTGTCAGTCATATAATGCAGGTCTATGGTCACCACCTCAAAGAGCATGCACAGAGAAGTCCAAATTAAACATGATTTAATGACTCGTAAATGTAAGTACACATTGATGGCCTAAGACACGAAACGAGCGGTTTGTGTGAGAAAACGAAGAGTATTTATATCGTTTTTACCTCTTGTAAACACAGCCACGTCCAAGAGATCTGAGGGCGCGGGCGCTGGGGAGTGGGCGCGGGCGCGGTCCGACTATGCGTTATGATGGGTCGTTCGCAATTCATGAGCGTTAGCCGTTAGTGATGATGGATCGACTCGTTCGCGAATGAGCTTTTGATGGGTCGTTCGCGATTCGCGAATGAGGCGACTCTAAGAGCCGGCTCTTTTAGGTGAACGTCGGGAGCTGGCTCGCATATCTGAAGAGCCGACTCTATTTTTACAAATTTAGCCTATAGAAATTAAATAATTATGTAATAAAAATTTAAATATTATAGTCAAAGTCATTTAAAGAGCCGTTTGTGAGCCAAAAGAGCCGGCTCTTTTCAGTGAGTTGAGTCAAAAGTGCCGAATGCCTACTACTATGCGTGCTTTCGAACACCCGCCCAACTCTACCTCTGATTGGCTTACAATGACATTTTACTCTACCTCAGCCAATCATCAGCATTATGCGCTTGTCTCGTGCTCTGCCCACTAACCAAGGAAGAACAGTAAAAAAAGTATTTGCCTCTCGCTCAGAGATCTAGTTGGTCTGATGAAAAAAAAAAAACAGCTTCATCAGTTATAGTAACGCGCCGCAATTTTTGGCAGTAACGGGAACGGCGTTATTAAGATGAGAAGAGTAATCAATTAGATTATTCGTTACTGGAAAAAGTAATGCCGTTAGTAACGGCGTTATTCCCATCACTGAAGCTAAAACATATCAAAAATTAATTTCAAAGTGAACTATCCCTTTAACAAAGATTAACAAAAACAGGAACAAATGTTAATACATTAACTAATGTTTAATAAATTAACCTTTTTGTAAAGTGTTACCGTTTTTTGGCTGGTATTGTTGCAGAACTCTAACAAGCAGACTGTTTATTTTCCAACGACATGCATATGAATTAGCTGAGCGATATGCTCATCCTTGAGGAAAAGCGTGAGTGTTTGTGCACCAGTTGAACAAGGGGTGTCTGTTGTCCTCCTCCTGGTCCCTCGCTCTATAAATACCCCGTATAGTGGTTTGTCTGCCACCAAGACTGCAATTTCTTCAGCCATTAGTAATGTAATGACAGTGGGCATGTCAGTGATGAGAGATGCTGCAGCTGTGTTTCTCTCGCACACATACAAACAAAAACTGATTCAACATACAGTCATGGAAATATCAGGCAATTTTAACTGGTTTTACAGGCTTGGAATTTTCTATAGCGCATATATTTTTTTTTCTGAAATACAATTCCATTCAAAAGTTTGGGTTCTGCTCACCAAGGCTGCATTTATTTGATCATAAATATAGGAAAAATAAGGATATTGTAAAAAAAAAAAAAAAAAAAAAAAAACTTTAAAATAGCTGTTTTCTATGTGAATATATAGTAAAGTGTAATTTATTCCTAATTTATTAAAAGAGATATTTTGCGCACGCAAATAAGTATTGCAATATTTAGGCTAATTATACTAATAATTATTTTATTAGTATAATAATATACTAATAATATATTATTACACCATATTATACACGCAATATCAATACTGTAGCGCAAAGTATTGCAATATTTAGGCTAATTATAAAATGATTATACTAATAATTCTATTATTAGTATAATAATATCAAAGCTGTATTTTCAGCATCATTACTCCAGTCTTCAGTGTCACATGATCCTTCAGAAATCACTCTTTCAATATTTCATATATTTATTCATATTGATGATTTATTCATATTTTTGTGGAAACCACGATGCATTGTTTTTTTCAGGGTTAAAAAAAAAGAAAATTCAAAAGAACAGCATTTAATTGAAATGGAATCTTTTGTAACATTATACATGTATTTACTGTCACTTTTGATCAATTTAAATGCATCCTTGCTGAATAAAATTATTAATTGCTTTAAAAAAAAAAGTCTTGTTGAGCCCAAACTTTTGAATGGTAGTGTATTTTTATTTATAGGTCACACTTAAATTAGGGTCCAAATCTCACTATTAGCTATGACTTTTGCCTCAATAAACTCTTAATTACTGCGTATTAATAATTAATAAGGTAGTTCAGGTATTGGGTGGAATTAAGGGATGTAGAATATGGACATGCAGAATAAGGCATTAATGTGTGCTTTATAAATCATAATAAACAAACAGCCAATATCCTAGTAATATACATGTTAATAAGCAACTAGTTAATAGTGAGAATTGGACCCTAAACTAAAGTGTTACCTTTTTATATTAAATATTGCAAACCATTGTTGGCTCTTGTCAATGAATTGGTCTGAGTGATTCCATCATGAATTGATCTGAATGTTTTTTTTAAAAGTCCTAATTTGATTCATTCAAATTGATTCATTCATGAACTTTCACCGTATGGTGATCAGTGTGCCATTGATCACGATACTTAGCCTCAAGTTACTATAAAGTGTGCACTTTAAGAAGCTTTTGTGTCACCTAACTAGTTTTTTACATTTTCTGCATAACATGTGAGTGTTGTTTCCCTGTGCAAGGCCAAATCTATAGGTTCTTCCTGGATTATGGGAGTAAAATTGTGTAAAAAAAAAAATAGTTCTGACACTTGCATACCGTTAGCTTCCCTGTCTGCATTTGTGATGTCATTTCATTTATTTACTTATATAGCACCTTACAGGCCACCATAGTTCCAAAGTGCTGTACATTGCAATAACAAGCAACAGAACAATAAGACAAAACATAAAAACATCCATAATGTACTAAAATGCCAAAGATACAGATAGATCTAACATCCAATGGCAGATTATTCCACAATCTCGGACCAGCGACAGAGAAAGCACGATCACGCTTCTGGTGATCAGTGGTTCATGTAGG